TGTGACATTGCTGTTTTGTGACATTTTATATCCTAGGTTGCATCGCATGGACTCAGCATGGAGCTTGCTCCGCATCCTAGACTACTCAGGTTTTCTTTTCTTTGGTAGAGTTYCGCTTCTTGGCGGAAGCATGTTTGTATCTAGGCGATCCATCACAGGCCGAGGATCGTATAGCGGACCTCGGGTTGGCCTGTGAGACCAGCCCCTTGGCCTGTTCTCACAGGCCTGTGTTGTATTCGGGGTAGGCCAGCCCAGGTCGGTACCTCTGTCGGTACCAGCCAGTCCAGTCCAGTCCCGTCAGTCCGTTGGGGTATATCCCAGCCATTGTCTGTTTTCAGTCTCATTCTTCACTTGCACATTTTGGAGTACGTGCGTTGGAGTCTTGCGTGGGGAGCTGTGTTGTGCCATCTCGCTCCCCCCTTCTTCCTCCATCTCCATCTCTGTCACTAGCGGAGCACCACACCTGGTGGGTCCGCTACAGAACCCCCTCCTCTCCCCCCCCCCCCCCCATCTCCAAGAATGCATCACTCCATCACTCTCACATAATGCAGACAAGATGGTCCCATCCTGTGATGATGCTACCTTCTTCCCTCCCCCAAATACAACGTAATATGGTCATTATAGCTGTGTTTAGACTGAAACATATATATACATATATATATATGAGTTTTCCATCTGGTGTGGGTGAGTGATAGTCTGCTTTGACTTTTGCCACAGGTACCTTGAGGGCAGTGGTTGGTGCACACCTCAGGGTATCAGTTGTCGGGCAGTCTTTGATGCTTAACCACAGCCGGGGTTAAGGTGGATTATCACTTACAGTGTAATCAGTTAGGGGATTCTGCAGACTGTTGAGGGTTCAGCCTCCTGATGAGTCGGTGAAACTCCGACGAAACAGTTTGTCACAGCCCCTCGTTTGTTGTCCTCTTCTCCCTCTCTGCCTACGGTTTACCTGACAGCTCTGTTTGACTATATATATATATATATATATATATATATATATATACATGTCTTTTAACTTTTTCTTAAGACTTGGCGCTCATTGTCTGCCCCTGTTATTAGATTTTCTGTTGTCGAGAGCAGTTGTGTTGTTTGGGTTATGATCCCACGAGAGTGTCCTTGGGGACATCCGTAAAATTTGGAAGGATACAGAGCAGGGTAATTAGCAAATGGCCCCTGCGCAAGGATGACACGCATAAATCCAAATATGGTTATGATCACACGAGAGTGTCCTCTTGGGGATATCCGTAAAAATTGGAACGATGCAGAGAAGGGTAATTAGCAAATGGCCCCTGAGCAAGGATGACACGCATAAATAGAGAGAAATGGGTGATGCCACGAGACTACGCATGAAGAAATTAAGACAACAAAGAGAGTGACCCAGATTATTTCTTTCGTTGTTTTTTTTTTTTTTTTTTGCAGCCGTATATTGTTCTTCTAAATGTGTGTGTCATACTTGTTGCAGATGACCAGGGGTGCTGTCCTGAAACCTATGTCTTGGCCAATTTCCAGGTGATGACCCAAAGGACAAGTGCATTATTTTCCCAATTCTGAAGTTTTTTTGTATTTTATTTTGTATTTTTATTTTTTTAACTTTGTTGAACCTGTGAGCCACGTTGTCTTCTGTTTCCAGCCTTTTTTTTTTTTTTTTTTTTTTTTTTTTTTTTTTTTTTTTTTTTTTTTTTTTTTTTTTTTTTTTATATTAAAACATCAATCAGGGTTCCCCTGCTACAGACAAGGATAAGAGTCTGTGCTTGTAGGAACACCCATAGCTACTGTCGTCCCCCGAACATAACGCATCCCAAAGATAAGGATACGCTAGCAGTATAACATTCACACGCATAGCTAATGTGGTCCCCCAAACATAACGCATATGCGTTGTTGTCAACGAATACGACGCACAGGTTGCGTTTCGATTGTAATAAAATGCACATGTAATCTATTCCAACAGCTCCTACTGTATATTCTATTCAAATTTCGAATACAGTGCATACGTGTTCTATTCCAACAGCTCTTATTTTTTAACACAATGCAACGCATATGCATTCTATTCGAATTTTGGAATCTTTTGAAAACTAGAATGCACAACTCATATGCGTTATATTCTGGGGGGCAGACTGTAGCAGTCTACCTTCTTCCCCTAAATACAGCGTACGTCGTACACTCATTATAGTTGTATCTGGGGTATCTTCTCCCTCTCTGCCTACGGTTTACCGGGCAGTTCTATTTGACGATATATATATTGTCACATGATATCAGAGCGCCCAAAGCGAAAAAACAGAAAGAAAACAAGGAAACAAAAAAACTTAATTCGTTTTTAATCTTCTTCCTTACAACTCCCCCTATTTATAACCTCTTGCGTACAAGGCCGCCCCCGTGGATGTAGGTTGAGCGGCGGCTGCCCCCACCCCAGGGTGTCATATCGACCCACTTGCACACAGCCAAAGGCAAAGAGGCAAAGAAGAGAGGAAGGGAACAGTCAAATAAAACAGAACAGGGGGCAACAAAACAGATCCCAGATGACAAGTCCCACATGCAAGCACCGCCCCTGCCCACAGGCCAAACGACGGGACAAGACTAACCAGGATGTCAAAACCTTGTCTGGAATAGTGTAATCAGTGAGGGGATTCTGCAGACTGTTGAGGGTTCAGCCTACTGATGAGTCGGTGAAACTCCGACGAAACAGTTTGTCAGAGCTCCTCGTTTGTTGTCCTCTTCTCTCTCTCTGTCAACGGTTTACCGGGCAGTTCTGTTTGTGACGATATATATATATATACTAACTTAGCGTCCGCGGTGCGGGCGGTGCGGGCAATGCCCGCACGTAAAAGGGCAGAGAGGCTTGTCAATCATGAACATTGTGTCAAGATCTTCACTCACCAACCACCAAACCCGCACCGGGCCGCTAAGAAGTGCGCATGAATGTTTTGATTTTTATATATACTAAGGAATATATGTATTTTTTTTTTAATTCAAGTAGCGGCGGGGGGGGG